AATTTAGACTTTTTTCGCTTGTAGTTGTACTATACTACGTAAAAATATTTTCATATCCGATAATTTTAATCTCGCATGACATTTAAATAATCCACGTTTCAGTGTAGTTTACAACGCTTAGCTATCTTAAGCCAGGTGGTTTACAAGTGTTCTACTGAAGGTAACCGGCAATCTTAAGACATTCTGGGTGCATTATCTGCTGTGTGTGACATTGTCAGATCAATAACTTCATCACAGGTCGCAGGAAAATAAGGAAATTGAATCGACAAAACTTTCTTTACCTGCGCATCATTGCTATTCGCAATCTAAGGACCATTCCACAGGCTGGAACCGGAGTGACTATATAGCGAGTAGTGTTATGAACCACAAGATCGAGTGAGGCCACGTGCGCTATGGGTAACTGTTGTGGTGCCCCCAAGGCCGACTACATGGTGTACGTCCGAACTGGGGATCTAAAAGGAGCGGGAACAAATGCGAACGTGAAAATACGTCTACATGACAGTGATGGAAACGAAACCAAAGACATAACCCTGGACAATTTCTTTCGTGATGATTTCGAAGCAGGTTCTTTAGATACATTTCACATCCCAGAGCTAAGGAACTTTGGCAATATCATATCTGAAATTGAATTTTGGAGAGATGACTCTGGAATCGCAAGTGACTGGTATGTTAATAAAATTTTGGTGGAAAATCGGAAATCAAACGATATTTTTGTATTTCCGGTATACCGGTGGATAAAACCAAATTACCACTATAGAATAACCCACCTAGATACATCGCTGCCTCAACAAGATCGGCATGTAGACCAACGTAAAATGGAGTTAAATGAAAAATGCAATTTGTATCAGCAAAGTGTTAAAGTGGAAGGGTGTCCATCCCAGGTAGGATATCTGTAACCAAAGAATCCCAAGATACTTATAAGCTGATATTTTTTAACCCTCGATAAATGTTTAAAATGTTAAGTGTTGATAACAGGTACTCTCAATTTTGCAGCTACGATTCCCCTCTATTTCTTTTTCCTTCTTTGGGTTATTTTCCGATAGAATGATCGCTCTGCTCCATCCCACGTTCTGTCTGGACAATACTGTGTCTTCGTATGAGTTAAGAATTCTAATACCTGAAAATATAACGATTCTCTATTTATCCATGCCTTGTATTAACTTTTTTTCCCTACTAGTCATTTCCATTCGGAGACTGCAAGCTTGAGTTTTGTAATGATTTCCCAAGTAGTTCTATCCAGACATGGATGTACTTCCTACCTTGACAGTTACAAAGTACACTACGTTTAAAAAAAATCGACAGGTAAAATTTTGCCTCACCATGCTAACAAACTGAACTAGAAATAATCCAACTGGCAAAGATAATGCACTTGAGGGAATATGATGTCAGACTCGAAATTTATTGAACACGCATGTACACATGTATCTTTTTAAAACGTCATGTGGAGTGTCATAAAGAAAATATGTGTTATTAGCATTAAGCAGACAAATTTTACATTTTAATTATATATAACACAACCTTTGGGCGATGTGATGCAGACAAATGACATAATAGAGTATAGTCATCTACATCCACCCACGACTTCTTTTGAACGGGTAATATCCCAAAAAGTTATTAAAGGCAACAGAAAAACTCAAAACCTAGAAATAAAAGCCTTGTGTACTAAGTATGCGGTGAACATTTAAAAAGAAGTTTGTGTAAAATTTCAAGGTCACCTTTATGAAAGAATTTTTTTCAAACCTATTTAACTCAAATGTCTTTTCAAATAAAAGTCACTCACTTCATAAACAAGGTCTGGAGATATTTTTTAAAAAAAACTTGTTTTTAATGAAACGACCCTGGGTAATGTGCTTTACCTTCATTTATTGAATATATGGTAAATAGTTAAGGCCCTGTGTAAGGGAATTGAATCACTTGATCCGCCACATCATGGTAATAACATACACCTGCAACTTCTACGATGATAAAAAGTATTTTAAACTGTTTAAATAGCTTTTACAGGTGCTTCAAAGATGCTTCTGAACCAAAGTATGGCGGATCTTGTAATGGAGAACAAGCAATTTCGAACAAAGGGATAAAAATTATTATTTTAAAGAAATGCTATTATTTTATAAAGTTCCTATTTTGAGATGAGTATTTTAAGTAAAGGACCAACCACAATGCTTACAGAAACCCAAATATAATTTTAGACATGAAATATTATTGAAAACATAATACCAGTTTTAAAAACTTTCAGAATTCGGGAACCATATTACTCCATAGACAAGTGGCTAGGCATTTGCCCCCCCCCCCCAAAAAAAAATCCAAAGGCCCACGTATCGACCCTAACCACGGCCAACAATAATTTTACTATATATAATTGTTATATATATGATTATTTTTAAAAATAAAATGCATCAAAACAATTCCACCATCTCACATTGGTCAAAAATTATTTCTTTTGTTTGTTTTTTTTTCACGATGTAAATGCATCGGGAATACTCTTGATGTTGAACACTTGTATTTTTGCAAAAAGTAAGGGGGTCAAAATTTCCATTTTATGTTTTGTTTCGATCTGCTCCGAAATTCACAAAAAATGTAAAGAAATATGATACTTAATGTTCATGTGTATGTTTTATAATGAGCCCAACTCAACGATAGATAGAGTTTCTTATAAGATTTCTGTATACAGTTAAGATGACACTAAGTGTAGAATGGCGAAATAAACAGGAAGTTGAAAGTACTCTTAATTAAGGAACCATGAGTTAAAGAAAGTTCCCATTGTATCAAATAACATAGCTATGTTGTTGTACTAAGCATTGCAATGTTCTTTAATTAATTGGGATGTTTAAAATACATTCTTATAAAAAGCATATCATCAAACTTAGGAGACAAAAATACTTTTTGCTTATGGGCACTCTAGCTTCTTCCAGCTCAAAACTGCTGCGTTTAAGATCGTGGCAGATTCGATAGGCTAGAGAACGCACTGTGCGAATTGACGAAGCTAACATACCGTTCAACATCGTACATGTAGTAGTTCTATACGTTAGTTGATTAATTGCTTGATTGATTGATTGTATATTGTTAAATGTCCCATTGGAGAATTTTTCAGACATATATACACGTGTCACCGTAAGCTTAAAATTTAGACATATTATGGGCCCTCAGGGTTATTGAGCAGTGAGGGTTTTTTTATCGTGCCAACGCCTACCGTCCTACCGTGACACGGGACCTCGGTTTTCAAAGTTCACCCGAAAGACCCGTGATTCCGGGCGCTTAGCGAAGGAACAGTCACTACCTATGTTTATGTCGTACGTTGGACACGGCGCGGCGAACGAGAATCGAACCCGGGCCTCCCCATCATGAAGCGGACGTCCTATAACTAGGTTACCTTGACCGATGCTCTGCATAGTGCTACAGAGCCAATGCGTTCTCGAGCGCAGCACTGTGCTTTTCTTTTACTTTTATAAAATTGTATTGTTTGACACAGATATACGGGTTACATATTTTAGCATCAAGGTGACAACTTTCATCTTGTTAATTTCTTTTAATAAGCGATAAATGAAAATCAACTTAATGTTAAGTCAGACATAAAAAAGTTAACATAATAGTTCATGCATTAGGTTCTCTTTTGTCGACCATTTTAATTATCGACTAATGGTTTCATGATGAAGAATATATAAACTTAAGGTTCACCTTCTCTCTGTTCACACATATAAACTTAAGGTTCGCCCTCCCTCTGTTCACACATATAAACTTAAGGTTCACCCTCCCTCTGTTCACACATATAAACGTAAGGTTCACCCTCCCTCTGTTCACACATATAAACTTGAGGTTCACCTTCCCTCTGTTCTCACATGTAAACTTAAGGTTCACCTTCCCTCTGTTCACACTTGCAAACTTAAGGTTCACCATCCCTTTGTTCACACATAAAAACTTAAGGTTCACCATCCCTCTGTTCACACATATAAACTTTTGCTTTAAGATTAATGATTTCCCAAATAAAATTAAATGAAAAATAAAATGTACATAGCTCCAGCTTACCTTGCAAACGTTCATAAAAATGAACTTTTGATTTAAAAGTTGACAACTTTATAAAGAAATAATAGTCATTTATCCCATGGATAGTTTTCTCTCTTCTCAGGGGGTCAGGGAGCCTTAAATGTCCGATATTTCTTACTTTATTTTATCCCAAAAGGTCAAAGAGAAGTTCCTCAAAGACATTTTAGACGTTTGGTAACACAACTGAGTAAATTGGATTTTTTTTTTTACTTTTTGGCAAAATTTCTAGGCCAGTGACATAAACTTTCATGTTTCATCGAAGTTTCTTGATATTGTGTCAATTTGCCTAGCTTAATAACACTTGAATTTTGACATACTTGTGACAAGACAACATTCTGGAATAAAATAAAAATGTATACATTACAACTGATAATTCCAACCTTTTACTATTAATTTGCCGGAAGATTTATTTAAGTAGGAAGTACCGATTATGGATGACCTTAGATCCTTGTTGTACATCCTTCCTTATTAGCGACTTCTGGTATTTCTATTCATGGGAACAAGAAAATATGTGTACGAGTATATCGTTAGAGAAAAATCATATTTACTGTATATATAATGTTGTTTTAAGTTTAAAGACTATATGCTATACCTTTTTGAGAAGCTTATTACATGTACTGTATATTATTTGACAAACATCATAACATATATGCAGACTAATAAGGGCCAAATTTATATAGAAAAAAATATTTATATATATATATATATTAACAGCATATAAAAAGAAATAAAACTGATTTTCTCCCAGAGAATTGGAAGCGGGTGGCGTTATAGTCTCCAACATTGAACTACTAAGTAAATGGAGATTAACAGATAAATTGTAATACTATGTTTTCAATACTGCATTTCCATTTAAATTGAAGTCACGGTTGCTTAACGAAATAAATTTTATTTGATATTAAAAAATATTTTTTTTGGTAACTGTTACTCTTTAAAAAAAGTATGTATTTTAATTTCAGGTGAAAGCTATCCCGGATGATGAACAGTTTTCCTTTGATTACAAAGTATGTATAAAGGCAGTACTTCCTAATATTTTCTTCATTTAAAACAAATATATTTAGAAATAATTGGCATTAAGACTTAAGAGATTTCACCTCACACAAAATTAAATGTGATCGATTCTGTCTTTTTGAGTGAATATTTTCTCTGATAATAAATCTTTTGAGAGGCTGCAACATTTTGCCGATATATTGTTTTTTATCTCGCGAGATCTCCCGAGATTTTCAGTGTGATGTATGTCCAGCAATATTCCTTTTACAGCAATCCGAAGGGGGTGATAATGTAAGAGATTTAATTCGCTGCACACCCTCAAAGGAAATAGAGTTGTTAATAGATTTTAGATTAGTATTGATAACAATTCCACCTCTTCAAAAAAGACTTATTATGGCAGGGAGTAATGGAGGCGTGATCCGATCTAAAAAAGTCAAAGAATATTATGTAATGATGTCTGTTACAAATAGACTTATTCCCCATACTCAATATTTGTGTTACATAAAGTCAGTTTAATTCAACCGATATTATATTTTGTAAGGTAAAAAAAAAATGTGTGTAGATTTTGATGTTGGGGAAAAAGGGGGGGGGGGTATATTTATATTTTTAAAAGTAAAATGTATTGTAGGTACGGACAAGAGTTTAATAATATCGGCATGGTATACACTCAATGAAAATGTGATTTTTTCAATGGATGCACGCTGGTGCGTTTGTCGTGTCATATATGCCAGGAGAATCTGCTGGTATTTGTATACCTTCAAGTGTCAAAACATAAAATAAATTCCATACTACACATGCATTTTGTTTCCTTAGTGGAACATTGCGAAGAGGAAGCTGAAGATGATAGCGGACTCCAAGCTCCAGTTACTGACCCAGGGTGGAAAATGGGAGGGGATCCAACATCTGACCAAGGTCTTCACTAACGCCTTCGGAGAGCCGCTGGTATCGGACAAGATATTAAGTTCAATATTTAATTGCAATTAACAAAATAATTTTAGAAAAATAGTAATTCCATCAGAAACAAACACTACACCTTCTTTGTAGGGGTGCAAACGATGGAGTAACGACATATTCTTTGGTTGGCAGAGGATAAACAGCATGAACCACTCTTTAATAAAACTTTGTACAGAAATCCCCAAAAAGTGAGTATCACTGATGTGGTCGATAACTTATATTTCGACGAAGAAAAATACAATTACATACTGGTAAATTTTACCTACTTACTCAATACTTCTGGGACTCTGAAAATTGCAAAATTAAAAACCTTAGACATCATGGAAAAGAGGAAATATAATTAAAATGCAGTTTGGTGAATGGTGACCTTGTACATTTTAAAATATGGAATAAAAAATAATAATACGTTATAATTTAAGATGAGGATAATGCTGCGTACAGAAAAAACCATTCAGGTATGAACAGGATTAAAAATAGGTTTTACACGACACAAAAGTGTGGTAATCGAATGAAAATACTTTTTATACTCCCAGTATGTCGGTTGAGTAAAAGTGATCACCTTTGATGTGGGTGAGACGGTGTCAGATTGTATTTCGATAATATTCTCATGTAAATCAAGCATCGCGACACATTGGTCGAAATCAGTAATAATTCTTTTGAAAAAGTTTCTAACGAGTCTGAACCAATAATTTATTTGCATCACATTGCCAAATGTATGGAAAATTCGAATCGTATCACTTTAATGCATGTATATCACGGAATTAAGTAACACTTAAATTATATTAACTATTTTTGAAAACTAATTTTCTAGTATTTGTTGATTATGTACAACTGTTTTGTTCAAATAGGTTGGGAGTAACGGATATAATGCTGCAGCCGTTCTTGGAAGGATGGCCCCTTCACCAGGTGATAGAGGCCAAACGTCTGTTTATAGTAGACCTGGAAATATTACAGGACCTCCCCTGTAAAAACGAAGATTTCATAGTAAGCATTCAACAGATATCTGTTTTGGAAGGAGGGATATTTTTTTAGCATTATAACTTGAGTAACAAGTATAAAATTGCTTCTTTTTTAAGTGCCCGGTACCCATTGCCTTATTTTTTGTGAATGGTGATGGACGACTTGTTCCCATAGCCATCCAGTTGTTCCAACAGAAAGCCAACGACAACCCTGTACGTATTTCAGAGGACCTACACGTTGGGGATGGGGATGTTACTCTGAGTAACAATTAAATTTAGTTCAGTGTTTTATATATTTGGGATAAATTAACAAAATTCAATGATCAACATTGCCTTGTATCGGGCCTCTTTATTTTCAGATGTTCCCCAAACTGTTAAACAAACTTTGTATGCTCTGTGAATATTTAACTTGTTATTTTTATGTGGTTAGGTTTTCCTTCCAACAGACCCTCCTTACACTTGGATGATGGCAAAAATGTGGTATAATCTGGGGGACGCAAGCTATCATCAATCTCTCACTCATCTGGGTAACATTCCTAATGTATCATGATTCACCACTGCCTGTTCCTTTTCTCCTAAAAATATTATATCTAAAAATAATATGCATCTTCCGTTTTTGTAGGCTACACACATTTGATTATGGAAGGAGTTTGTGTCGCATTTCATCGTAATCTTTCTCAATCACATCCACTCTTCAAACTTCTAGCTCCCCATTTCTTGTATCTCATCGCCATTAACACGTAAGATGCCACATATTTACCAATTTTGTATATAAAACGTACTTGCAAATGCATCCATGTTTCCCCGTGCCAGTTGATGCAGCATTTCTGGTGATTTATAGACAAATAAATACTTGTTTGTATACCAAATTCCTCTTTTTATAACAGAATGATTCAGTGATTTGAAAATGAATACGATTAGTAGAAAGTTCATTGTACATGTACCGGTCGTTGTACGGTGCAAAGCAGCAGGTGCTTTTGACATTTAAAACCTACGTTATCCCATTGTGGTTTATTAGACTTTTAATCCAACTTGTATGCTTTGGCGTCAATCAATACTGTGAAGACTTTAAAATCATGTACTTAATTATGGATTGAACTCCAAAGAAAATTTGAACTATACTTCTTATTGTAGGCGGGGCCTAGAGCTGCTGGTGGCTCCGAACGGGTGGGTGGATAAGACCATGAACATTGGCATCAAAGGAATGTTCGAATTGATTGCTAGAGGGTATGGGCGTTATCTACAGTTTTTATTGAATAACAAAATTCCATCAAAATTACTAATCAAATTTGTTTACCTATTAAACTTATTGCACCCATTAGTTTTTATTTAATGTAATCGTTTCAAGGTTAAAAGAATGGCGCATGGATGTTCATGGCACACTACCGGAAGATCTGAAAAGGAGAGGGGTGTGTATCTCTGATAAATATCTAAGAAAGAAATGTTTAAACAAATAATAAAAAAAATAGCTTGAATTTTATAACAGTTGATGTTTTTTTTCTTACCCTAGGTCTACTGTCTCAATGGGAAAATTTTACCTGGTTATTACTTCAGAGATGACGCATTACTCCTGTATGACGCCATCAAAAACTACGTCACCAAATACATTAATCTTTACTATGGTAACTTGGCAATATTTTAGGTGTTAAATGTTTGTACACTTGAATAGAATAAATATAGGATCTCCCATGATTTGTAGTTGGATATGATTTTTATCCAACGAGTTGTGTGTTTTTCATCCCCGAGCCTTGGCGAGGGAATAAAAACACACAACGAGTTGGATAAAAGTCACATCCAACTACAAATCATGGGAGATTCTTTTTATCCCATGTTTAATACTTCACAACCAATGTTTTACACTGTTTTATATAGGACTCCACTTTATTTTACTTCATCGCGCTAACGCAAAAACCATTGAGACGTCACAACTGTGGATTATGAAAAAATTGTACCATAGGACTGGCGGTAAATTTAGATTTTGCTTTGATGTTGCTGTGGTGTATTTGCCAGAAGAATCACAGTTTTTTTAAGTTACGCCCACCTTTTTGGCATCAAGCCATACTGTGACAAGACCTTGACTGATGAATGAATGATGTTAATTTCCAGATGTTGGCAATGGCTGATGAATGAATTAAGTCAACTATACTAACATTAGCTTGTCGATGTTCGCTTCATAAATATTTCTATATGTTTTCTCCGCGTATCCTTAATCAGTAAATGATACGCCCTATCTCGAATTCTCGTTATTCTCTTTCCCGTCTCCAAATACATATAGCAATTTCACATCAGAAGTCCCCGCGTTTTTTTTTTTTACTTCCAATACCATTTCAAACTTTCATTAAAATGTCAGAAATCATTTCATTTTTTTCTGTACGCCGATTGCCATAAAGAAAATTTTCAATGGCGAAATTTCCCATACCCCCTCCCCCTTTTTTTCAAAAAAAGAGAAAAAAACGATATAGAAAGATTAATTTTCTTTCAGAGTTGACGGCCTGAATATAAAAGCCTACAATCGCTACCCCTGTACCTGACAAAAATCATGTTTTCTGCATCTTCAACATTCCAAACGTACAATATCTTCACACGTACCAATTCCGAATTTTTTATCAACGATTTGCAGTAGCAATGCTGCAGCTAAAAATGATCCTTGCAGATGGAGACAGCTATTTATACAGACTCCGGACCTTGACTTGACACCTCGTCATAGGCGGTGCTAATTATCAACTTGCTTTTCTCTCATTGGTCCTCTGGTACAAGTAACTTACACAATAGATATTAATTGGTTCGCGGTAAATACACTCACAGTTTTTATTCACGAGGGGCGGAGCCCCGAGTGAATGAAAAACTGTGAGTGTATTTACCGCGAACCAATTAATATCTATAGTGTAACTATAACTTATCCAATGAGTCATATCCACGGGATAAAGGGGTAAACATGGGATAAATATAGGAGTTGGATAAAAGTCATATCCAACTACAAATCATGGGAGATTCTTTTTATCCCTTGTTTAATACTTCACAACCAATGTTTTACACTGTTTTATACAGGACTCCACTTTATTTTACTTCATCACGCTAACGCAAAAACCATTGTGACGTCACAACTGCACTTAACTGTGGATTATGAAAAATTTATCCAATGAGTCATATCCACGGGATAAAGGGGTAAACATGGGATAAAAATGTTTAAAAATATAATGTCTTTATATATGAATTTTATAATTACATGTAGCATTTAACATGAGAGGATGAATGCTGCATTGTTGGTTTTCCTTCTAATACATCATAAATACATCAAAGTCCACAAAAAGATTAATCATTTCGATTCTTTCATCTTGTTGCAGATTCTCCAGAAACAATTGAGAAAGACTGGGAATTGCAGAACTTTGGCCGTGAACTGACTCTTTCACGCGAAGAAGGAGGATGCGGTTTACTTGTAAGAGAACGAAAATCGTTAGGATTGCTTTTTAGTTATTTTGGGTTTGATGATAATGATATAAGGTTCTTGTTTTGTCGTTCTAGGGTGTTCCATTCGATGGTAAATTTGACAAGCCAGAACAGTTAATAATGGTGTTCACATGCATTATCTACACATGTAGTGTTGCGCATGCATCAACAAACTTCCCGCAATACGACGAGTATGCTTTTCCCCCAAATTATCCAGCTTCCATGAACGGAGTACCCCCCAAAGACAAGGTACTTATAACGAATTAGTTCATTTCTAGATCTGTTCATTTTTAAAGACTTCTTGTATGCAAAAAAAAGTACTTGGTGTAGTGTGGATATTAAATATTCCAAAATGCCGAAAAGTAGAGTAAATATACATGATAACTGATGATCTATCGGCAGAGTCCATTAACGGAGGAGGACATTTTGATGACGCTTCCGGACAAAAAGACGACATTGGACGTCATGACGGTAACCAAGATTCTCAGTGATCGTGGTACAAAGAGTCTGGGCGACTTTGAAGTGCAATATATATTTGATCCAGATGCAAAACAAATAGTCCAAGAGTAAGTGTGAAGTGTTACGGAGTTTATATCCACCTATTGAAAAGTAAAATGCTGTTAGTGAATTTAAGGATTATTACTTGGGCAATGATTTTGCAACAGGTGCAGAAAAGTAATGCAGTTTGTAATAATGATAAACGAGCAAAGATTTTTCGACCAAGCTAAAGAAGTAATTAAATATGCAGTCAAGATCTTTTTTAATTTTTTTAAATTTTTTATTTAGGTTCAGAGCCGAATTAAAAGAAATAAGCATGAAAATCAAAAGAAGCAACGAACACAGAAATCCGAAATATGAATGGCTTGATCCGGAAGTGGTTCCGAATTCTATCAGCATCTAGAGATTAACGAAGACCTGGGTACATACTAGATAGTGCAATATTATACCAGGAGTTGTATATTTTTATATATAGTTGAAGTACTGCATTCAGAGCAATTTAACTTTTGACCAAGTTTCTTGTGTATTTACTCATTTTTAGAATTTGTTATATTCATGTGACATCAATGCGATTAGATAATAGATTATTTTGCTACGTGTACTTTGGAGTAATAAATGATTTTTTTCCTAAGTACTAGTTAATAGTCATATGGTGCATATATTGTTTTTTTTTTCTAAAATTTATGAAGGATATATGCAGATGTGCAAATAGCAAGAATCGAATAATTTCTTTACAAATAATAACGAAATATCCGCAACCTGGAAAATGTCAATACGAAACGTTGGTGTTAAATTATTTACACACACACCTGTCTACAAGGTTTGTTTTGTTGTAGAAATCTATATTTTATCTAAGTATTGATAAATCTTTAAAGCCACAAACTAGACTCATAATACAAAGTACATGTATTTCAAACGTTACTGTAGGCATATATTTTCTTTCAGGGGAGGGGGGAAATATTACTTCAAAATAGCATTCATCCGCTTGTCTTTACAACTTATCTGTGCCACATTGTATACACTTACAGTGGCGGATCCAGGAATTTCATAACGGGGGAGGGGGGGGGGCAGTAGTATCATTTTATCAATTTATGTACTAAACTGGACTAAACCGAAGGTAAATGCTTGTTATACGAACAAAATTTCAAAAAAAATTAAACGGGGGGGGGGGGGGGTACGCCCTGCGCGCCGGCGCTGAAATTTAAAAAAAAAATTAAACCGGGGGGGGGGGGGGGGGACGCCCGGCGCTGAATCCGCCTTTGACTTGTATAGTGATGTGACATAACCCATACCCCCTCAAGCACTTGCCTATAGCGCGGTGCAAGTTTCTCTGAAGTTTATCGTTTCATGATGGTATGAAATTTAAAATAAAAGTAACAAAATTAATGTAAAAAATCGAGTATGAAATTCACTTCATAAGAGTATACCTTCCCCTTTGTTCTCAAGAGAAATCATCTAGGATAACTTAAAAATTGAAGATAAATGACGTTCGCGTAAACAAAGAATAAAATGCGCGGTTGCGGAGAAAGGGTGCGTGATTTAGTAATACCGAGTCCCCTACTGGCATATGTAATCCAGATTACATTAACAATTATGGCAGAAAATTTCATTTGATATCTATAGCAGGTGATGAATTCAAATGCCGTAATCCCCCCCCCCCCAAAAAAAAAAATCATTGATGAGGAATGAGATGCGAAGTTGATCTCTAAATCATCAAGGTTGACTCTCATACAAATAAATGTATCAATATCTGCAAGCTTCCCCTGATTTCACTTTAAGGGGGACTAATAAAATAGTCTCCTTATTCCGAGTTTTTTTTAAATGAAATGTTTCACCTTCTGCCTCCTCGAAAAAAAGAGTTTGTGATTGTTTGATTATATGTTGTTGTTTTACGTCCCATTCGAGAATATTTCACTAATATAGAGACATCACCATATACCGGTGAAGGGCTTCACATTTAGACCTTTACTCGGCACTCAGGGCCATTGAGTGAGGGATCTTGATCATGCCAACGCCTGCCGTAACATGAGGCCTCTGTTTGAAAACACTCATTCAAAAGACCTACAGACTAGAGAGCTACGTATACAAATCTGTCATTCTCTGCTCCTCCAGAGACCTACAGACTAGAAAGCTACGTTTACAGATCTGTCACTCTCTGCTCCTCCACCTACAGACTAGAGAGCTACATATACAGATCTGTCACTCTTTAATCCTCCACCTACAGACTAGAGAGCTACGTATACAGATCTGTCACTCTCTGCTCCTCCACTTACAGACTAGAGAGCTACGTATACAGATCTGTCACTCTCTGCTCCTCCAGAGACCTACAATCTAGAGAGATGTGTTTACAAATCTGTCACTCTCTGCTCCTCCACCAACAGACTAGAGAGCTACGTATACACATCTGTCACTCTCTGCTCCTCCAGAGACCTACAGACTAGAAAGCTACGTTTACAGATCTGTCACTCTCTGCTCCTCCACGAAAAGACTAGAGAGCTACATATACAAATCTGTCACTCTCTACTCCTCCACCTACAGATTAGAGAGCTACATATACAGATCTGTCACTCTCTGCTCCTCCACCTTCAGACTAGAGAGCTACGTATACAGATCTGTCACTCTCTGCTCCTCCACCTACAGACTAGAGAGCTACGTATACAGATCTGTCACTCTCTGCTCCTCCACCTACAGACTAGAGAGCTATGTATACAGATCTGTCACTCTCTGCTCCTCCAGAGACATACAGACTAGAGAGCTATGTTTACAAATCTGTCATCACTCTCTGCTCCTCCAGAGACCTACAGACTAGAGAGCTACGTTTACAGATCTGTCACTCTCTGCTCCTCCACCAAAAGACTAGAGAGCTACATATGCAGATCTGTCATCCTCTGCTCCTCCACCTACAGACTAGAGAGCTACGTATACAGATCTGTCACTCTCTGCACCTCCACCAACAGACTAGAGACCTACATATACAGATCTGTCACTCTCTGCACCTCCACCAACAGACTAGAGACTTACATATACAGATCTGTCGCTCTCTGCTCCTCCACCTACAGACTAGAGAGCTACGTATACAGATCTGTCACTCTCTGCTCCTCCAGAGACCTACAGACTAGAGAGCTACATATACAGATCTGTCACTCTCTGCACCTCCACCAACAGACTAGAGAGCTACATATACAGATCTGTCGCTCTCTGCTCCTCCACCAAAAAGACTAGAGAGCTACGTATACAGATCTGTCACTCTTTGCTCCTCACGAGACATACAGACTAGAGAGCTATGTTTACAAATCTGTCACTCTCTGCTCCTCCACCAACAGACTAGAGAGCTACGTATACACATCTGTCACTCTCTGCTCCTCCAGAGACCTACAGACTAGAAAGCTACGTTTACAGATCTGTCACTCTCTGCTCCTCCACGAAAAGACTAGAGAGCTACATATACAAATCTGTCACTCTCTACTCCTCCACCTACAGATTAGAGAGCTACATATACAGATCTGTCACTCTCTGCTCCTCCACCTACAGACTAGAGAGCTACGTATACAGATCTGTCACTCTCTGCTCCTCCACCTACAGACTAGAGAGCTACATATACAGATCTGTCACTCTCTGCTCCTCCACCTACAGACTAGAGAGCTACGTATACAGATCTGTCACTCTCTGCTCCTCCACCTACAGACTAGAGAGCTACATATACAGATCTGTCATCCTCTGCTCCTCCACCTACAGACTAGAGAGCTACGTATACAGATCTGTCACTCTCTGCACCTCCACCAACAGACTAGAGACCTACATATACAGATCTGTCGCTCTCTGCTCCTCCACCTACAGACTAGAGAGCTACATATACAGATCTGTCACTCTCTGCTCCTCCACCAAAAGACTAGAGAGCTACGTATACAGATCTGTCACTCTCTGCTCCTCACGAGACATACAGACAAGAGAGCTATGTTTACAAATCTGTCACACTCTGCTCCTCCACCAACAGACTAGAGAGCTACGTATACAGAACTGTCACTCTCTACTCCTCCAGAGACCTACAGACTAGAGAGCTACGTATACAGATCTGTCACTCTCTGCTCCTCCACCAAAAGACTAGAGAGCTACATGTACAGATCTGTCACTCTCTGCTCCTCCATCTACAGACTAGAGAGCTACATATACAGATCTGTCACTCTCTGCTCCTCCATAGACCTACAGACTAGAGAGCTGCATATACAGATCTGTCACTCTCTGCTCCTCCACTTACAGACTAGAGAGCTACGTATACAGATCTATCACTCTCTATACTCCTCCAGAGACCTACAGACTAGAGAATTATGTTTTTAGATTAGTTGCTCTCTGCCCCTCAGAGAGCTTCAGATAGCATCAATTAAAAATAATATTCACAGATTTCAAGTGTTATATATATATATATATATATTAGAATTTTAAAATTCAAAACAACTGACAATAAAATAAATACATGTATATCTATCATACCATACAACATATGGAGGTTCCATTGTGTTATTATGTTTCAATAAACTCCATATGCAGCATATTATTACTGGCACTCCAGAAAGAAAATAATAATTCAAATATTGATAAAGTATTAAGAAAATATTATTCATAACAAGTATTCACTTCAACACACCTTGGACATGTAATAAAGACATAAACAAACATAAAATGTTTTTGAACATGCATATGAGTGAAAAAAAAATAGTTCGATTCCATGATTGTCAATATGGATTTCAATATACACCAGTATGTGTTCACTGAACTAGTAATTCCTGATAAATGACAGAAAAAAAAAACAATTGCATCAAATAAAACAATCTGCAATTAATTGTATAATATAAGGTATGGCCAGTGCTTTAATTTGTGCTTGTCTCTTCCATGTCATTATCATTGGAATTTTGTATTTTTTTAATCAAGAATGTATGTTTGTGGATGTTATATTTCAGTGTTAGAGAATTTTATTGGTAGTAAATTTCTGTTAATGTATCAGTCAAAACCCAAAACCTCACCATAAACTGCCTGAGAACTGTTTACAAACAGTGACTATGTTTTTAAATACCTTCTAATACCTCTCTTAGTGTACATTCTCTCTCTCTCTCTCTCTCCCCCCCCCCCCCCCCCCCCGATATTTATTACATTTTCAGCAGTGAAATTCTGTAAGTTATTTACTGAATAAAAGTGATATTTTGTTACAGTGTGAAAAAATATCAAAGTGAGGGTTCTGGACTCCCCCTGAAATTTAAGAGTAATTAAATTTCTATGAAAAAATATTGGAATAAAAAAATGACCTTTAAACCCCCCCCCCTTTAGGAAATACAGACGCCTCTTAAAAAGGTACTGCATGTACCTGAAGAAATATAACTAAGGAAAATGTTTACAATAACCCCATCCAACATGAAATAGGTTTCAGGTCTGCAGGTTTGGAGTAGTTGTTATTTTTTTTCTCTTCTTCTTTTTTTTTGCTTGTCAAAAAAAATTTCCAAGTCTGACATTTGTTAGAGTTGATGTGGACCCCCCCCCCCCCCCCCTTTTGGATAGCAAGAGTAAATAAACCATTCTGACAAAGACTAAAATTTCCACTATCCATATATGTTGTTAAAATCCAAAACTCACAATTTCAATCTCACAGTTGCTTAGCTGTGACATCTTAACTGCTCAACTATGAATTCAGAGCCTATGACACTGCATTACAATAAGATGAAGGCAAGGGGAAAATCAGAAAATGTAATAAACAGAAAATTCAATGTTTTGTACTTGAATATGAAATTTACTTCACTTATGAGAAAGTTTTTTTTTTTATATTTTCACTAGTGCTTTGCACTTGTGAAAATATTAAAAAAATAATGCCTCAGGAGTAAAATAAATTCCCTATCCAACTACAAAACATTAATAACCCTCTTTATATTGCACAAGGATCGTTATCACTGGATTGTAAATTATAAATGATGTTAGATTATTTTTGTCAGTATGAATACAAAGTTTCACACTATTGTAGCATGTAAACTATATATTTCTATCTAATCCAGGTTGTTCAACCTCTAACAGTTCTTACAAGCAATTTATTTTTAGAAAATTTAAGTATAATATAATGACTATGGATTGGACAAAATAGCTTTTATATGACAAAATATTTAAAAATCTAACTAAATTGAGGAGACACTTCTATGAAAAAAATTAACATCATTAACAGCTATACACTGTACATATGATTTCATTGTACGTGTATCTGTATAGCAAATAAAACAAGAAATTTCTTATTTTTTATTCCTAAAATACATTTTAAAAATACTAACTCTGCAGAGAAATATGTGTAGTAAATAATAAACTGACAAATTCAAAGGCAAAGTTTTTGGGGGAAAAAATCTATGCATTTAATTGGATTTTTAAAAGGCAAAAACACATATAATAAAAAGTAAACAGTAAAAAAAAATTGGAAATGATCTTTGTGAAATGTAGCACCACAAATTTGTTTGTACCTATCAAAAAAATAAAATATAACAAATATCATTCACGGTTACCACAGACTTAAAGTGTATCACAGAAAAAAAAATAAAGATTGTGTCTGTTAACCTGTTGATGGATTCTTTATATTCCATGTTAAAATGTACATAATCTCACACTCTGAAAGACCTATATATGAAATATATAAATGTTCTGAACAATTTGTGTAGTTATAACTGCTGTGAGTAGCCTTGAATGGTGTATTTATCCCACAACTAACTACTTCCTTGTGGCAAGAGGAATTTTCAGTCATGCAAACTAAATCCTGTATTTTTTTTCACTGGGTAATCATTAAAAAAACTATATGGCACACATGTCAGGCTGTCATTTACCAAATCCCATCCTGAAAGCCAGCTCAACAGTGGACTGAGGAATAGATTCATGTACCAAACCCCACCCTGAAGGCCAGCTCAACAGTGGACTGAGGAATACATTCGTGTACCAAACCCCACCCTGAAGGCCAGCTCAACAGTGGATTGAGGAATAGATTCATGTACCAAACCCCACCCTGAAGACCAGCTCAACAGTGGACTGGGAAATAGATTCATGTACCAAATCCCACCCTGAAGTCCAGCTCAAAAGTGGACTGAGGAATAGATTCATGTACCAAACCCCACCCTGAAGGCCAGCTCAACAGTGGACTGAGGAATAGATTCATGGAAACACACGTACAGCTCCTTGTCCTGTTGTAATATTCGTCTGAAAAAAAAATCTTATTGGTTAATTTCATCCTGTTTCAAAGATAAATTCTGCATTCCTTAACAAGATACAATTATTTTCAAAATAAATTTAACAGGTGCTTGTGTAATTTACTACAGAATGAGGTGAACTTGTCTTCCATAAAACTCTTATCATAAAGACCCTTATAACTGCTTAGTACATGCAAGTACCACTTAGTACATGTAAGTACATATATGTAAGTGCTGGTTAATATTCAGTGCACATTAAAAAAAACAAGAAGTCTGTGAGCCAATGCTCACTAAATTAATACCCCTGCTCTGATGTGAATACACAAGTTCATTTTTGGACAGACACAGGGATAAACAAGAAGTTGACATCAGATTCATACAAAAATGAATCCCATCATATGACATGCCTAAACAATGAGTGTGCTAAACTTTCAAGCATCTGCAAAAAGTAGTTGCTGAGAAATCTGCAACCAAAATTTGTAATGTATGGTACAGACAGACGCATGGATAAACAGGAAGTTGACGTCAGATTCTCAAAAAACTGCGACCAAAATTTGTTATGTATGGTACGGACAGACGTACGGATAAACAGGAAGTTGATGTCGGATTCTCAAAAAATGAATCCCACCATATGGTATTCCTAAACAAAGAGTGTGCTAAAATTTCAAGCATCAGCGATGAGTAATTGCTGAGAAAACTGCGACCAAAATTTGTAATGTATGGTACGGACAGACGCATGGATAAACAGGAAGTTGACGTTGGATTCTCACAAAAATGAATCCCACCATATGGCATGCCTAAACAAAGAGTGTGCTAAAATTTCAAGCATCACCGATGAGTAATTGCTGAAAAAACTGCGACCAAAATTTGTTACGGACAGACAGACGGACACACACACAGACGGATAGTCAGACAGACACACAAGGGTAAAACAGTATACCCCCCTCTCCTTCGGAGCGGGGGTATAATATTTAAGAAATGAGAGCATTTTTTAACATTTGAACCTGTATATAGAGAGTCTAGCTTACCCCACTACCCAGTATGTTAGAGTTATTGGTGTTTTTTTGTTTTCCTGAGGCTGCACATAACTAAACAGCAATCCCTGCTCCTGGAGACACATTGAGTTCACTCCCCACTTCAAGTTCCGTGGATTCAGTTTGGCCTGAGCAAAAATTGGTCAATTAGCAAATTTCTACATCAATAAATCATATACATGACCAAAAGACATTTTTTTTACCTTAAGTAAAATGTGTATATGTACATTTGTATATGAACAAGATAATTCAGGGAATTTATGTCCCATTTAAATACAGAGTTATCCAGAGACAATATACAAGTCCGTGACTTTGACTTTTGACTTTTCCTCAAAACCAAATGGGTCATGTTTTAGTTATAGACAGTATTGAAGTGAATCTGAAAACCATTTCATACCATACACATTTGTATGCACTTGTGACCTTGACCTTTCACCTTTGGCCTTAAAATCAATAGGGTCTTTCTTAAGTTGAGAGTCATCAACTCAAGTTTCATTGCAAAAGCTCAAAGAGAACTGAAGTTATCTATATGCAACATATAAATTTCTGACCTTGGCTTTTGATTTTTTAAACTCAAAAATCAATAGATTTTTTAAAAAGACATAGGGAGTAATAATATGAAAACCTAAACAACTTTTAGAGTATTACAGAGAAAATGACAGATAAATGGACAGGAAGACCCAAATCAAAATTCAACCTTTCAGCAAAAGCAAGGGTTAAAAAGCTAAGCCAATATAATATTTCCCAATAGTGAAACCATTAGGGCCAAAGCAGTTTGTGAAATAATATCTTTGAAAGTTGGTAAAATGGGTAACAAACCCGGTGTAGCATAATATTTTGATACCGCAAAATATTGAACCCGGGTTCAAAATATTGCAGGGTTTAATATATTATATGACAACAAGGCTAATACCTCAGGATTAAAAATAAAAATTTCTCAGATAGTTCTATTATAATTCCAACAAAAAAGGTAAAACCTGAGATGTTTTAGTGACCAAAAAAATTACGTCAAAATTTATTGAGGGGGAATGTTTTGTAGCATGGAGATTCCATAAAATTCTATTTAGTAAATATCTTTATTGAAGTACAATTTAAGTCTTTGCTTTGTTTAGCCACCATGTTGCTATGCACATAAAGAGGACTGGGAGTTTTAGAATTTTTCCACATGGACTCATAAAATTTCTTTGAACACTGTGTAGCTTTCAACCCAAATTTCTTCTGTTCCTACACGTTGTCTATGAAGTTCAATGCATAAGCAGTGCTTTTGCCGCTTGCTCTACTTGCTATTACATATTTTGACATACCTGTTGAGGAAGGTTGCTGTGAAATGAATTGCGTATTTGCAGACAACTCTTGTAGAAGTTGAAGAGAACCTGACCATGAAGATGTCCCTGGGAGACAGCCATAGCCTGTGGGGTAGGGGAGATAAACACACCCTCCACACTGTCAAACTGAACAGCATGAAACAACGTGTTCTGGCAACCTCTGGTTACTCTGTTAGATAGAAGACATTGTGTGTTAAAAAGTATAGATAAAAAGAAAAGGACACTTAATAATTGGGTTATATCTAAATTCTGGTAAAAACCAGCCAAGCTGAACCATCATCTCACCTGATTACTTTGTATGGTTCTGGATGAATTGCACTGTTATTACTATTGACATCAAAGACTGAACCAGATTTGCTGCCCAATTTTCCCTGTATTAAAAAAAAAATAGGCTTTACATCATGCAAGCTTAGCTTTTAAATGTATAGTTTCTTAAATAGAACAATGTTTCTAAGTCTGAGAAAACACACTGACAATTCAGGATATCAGTGAAAAGCATTTCATCATATATGAACATAAACTGGTGTATGAGACATAATTCTATATAATGTATAAATACCTTGTTGTGTGGCCCAGAGCTACTCCCACTTCCTGCAGAATCATTGGAACCATATGATAAACGACTTCCATGGCGTTTCATTATAGGAGTGGAAACGTCACTATTGGATCCACCCCTGTATTGATCTGAGGATTCCTCTGTCAACCCTGGGAATTTAAAGGTAGCATCATTTTAAAAGAATGAAGAAAGGGTGCCTAATTTAAAGTTAATTTAAAGTTAATATACTCAGTAACATGAAATGCATTTTTACAATTTATCTTCTTTTTGTATTAATATTTTAAATAATTGTTTTGTCTCTGTTATCGCTTCTTTAGTGTTGCAATTAATGAAACAAGAAAATATTACTACCTATTTAACAAAATTTCATCATGAGAAACATCACTAAATGCCTGTTTTAAGATTTATCAGAACTTTCCGAGACTTACCAGTGTTGGTGTCATTATTTGGAGAAAGTGGCCACTTAAAGAGGAGAGTGTAAGTGGGGGACAGAATGGTAGCTGTCAAAGCAAGATATATGTGCAGACACACAGTTAACATGACAAACAGTGCAAGCTACTAGGACTGACAAAACTGATACATCTCTAAGATAACAGTGGTTCGATACAGTCTATAATAGCAATACACTACTGATCCAGTTTATAAATTGAAAAGTCAAAGAATTCTCCTTCACATGAATTCCACAAGTAATCAGAACCAGAAGAAAAATTCTTATTTATTTTTAGACGTACTTTAAAATAATTATAGTATAATATCTCTAATTTCCTTTAATAAAAAATGGATCAACAGTATAAACAAGAGAAAATCTGGCAGTTAATAACTAAATATGTGAATAAATAGGGTGCCATTTACATGTACTGGTATAGTATGCTGGTATGTATTGTAAGCAATAAATCATATGTTTATTGTTTATGTGCAAAGTTTGCTGTATGTTTTTGTTACAAGCACTTAGAGAGTGAATTAGATGCTTACGGCTCTTGGGAGATTCCTGCACTTTGGCAGGACTGATAAATGACCCATCTTCCTTCTTTGATTTGATACCAAGTAACATAGAATCGGCACTGACCAAAGTAGGACCACTGGATTCTGCTGTCAATCTAAATATTCACAAAAACATGTACCCAAAATTCAGTATGACATATATTTACTCAACCTGACAAAGTCATCATCAGCTATATCTGAGAAAAAGTTGACCTGAATCAGGTTTATGTGTTACCTTTTCTCACAGCACTGAGCCATCGCAACATCATCGGTCTCAAACTGCAGTAGAGTGGCCTTAGCTTGACTCACATAGAATGGATCAGGAGACAGTGGAATATTCCGTGTCTTTGTGCAACCTCCCATCTCAAGCAAGGTACCCAATAAAAAATGTTTCTGAAAATAGCAACATGTTACATACATGTATATTTTTGACTTATTTCCTTTTTGTAAATAACCATAATGCCATTACAACAAATCAATATTTAGTTGGTCTTACCATTCCCACAAGTAGCAGAAACCAGTGCCCTGTGGGCTCTGTATACCCTGGGGGTGGGGCCTCCCTACAGTGACATCGACGGGTAGGAAACATTTCCCTCCAAATTACCAGATCTTCCACACTCTTTCTGCCCATTAGCTGAAGCAGGCTGTGATATTTAACAAAGAGGTGGACATCTTGGAAATCAGAGACTGGTAGGTGGTTACACAGGAGATATTCCTACAAAATTAACATGAAAATGTACTATCAATGTATATTACACCGCATCCAATTTGACTACACTTATCAACACAGACATATGACAGAGGGTATCTCAGTACTTTCTATCCTTCAAACCTTATACATGTTGTATAGACAGGTCCCTATCACAGTAAATGTTCTCCTTTCATACCTTATAGTATAGACAGGTTCCTAACACAGTAAATGTTCTACTTTCATACCTTATAGTATAGACAGGTCCCTAACACAGTAAATGTTCTCCTTTCATACCTTATAGTATAGACAGGTCCCTAACACAGTAAATGTTCTCCTTTCATAACTTATAGTATAGACAGGTCCCTAACACAGTAAATGTTCTCCTTTCATAACTTATAGTATAGACAGGTCCCTAACACAGTAAATGTTCTACTTTCATACCTTATAGTATAGACAGGTCCCTAACACAGTAAATGTTCTACTTTCATAACTTATAGTATAGACAGGTCCCTAACACAGTAAATGTTCTACTTTCATACCTTATAGTATAGACAGGTCCCTAACACAGTAAATGTTCTACTTTCATACCTTATAGTATAGACAGGTCCCTATCACAGTAAATGTTCTCCTTTCATAACTTATAGTATAGACAGGTCCCTAACACAGTAAATGTTCTACTTTCATACCTTATAGTATAGACAGGTCCCTAACACAGTAAATGTTCTCCTTTCATAACTTATAGTATAGACAGGTCCCTAACACAGTAAATGTTCTACTTTCATACCTTATAGTATAGACAGGTCCCTAACACAGTAAATGTTCTACTTTCATACCTTATAGTATAGACAGGTCCCTAACACAGTAAATGTTCTACTTTCATACCTTATAGTATAGACAGGTCCCTAACACAGTAAATGTTCTACTTTCATACCTTATAGTATAGACAGGTCCCTAACACAGTAAATGTTCTACTTTCATACCTTATAGTATAGACAGGTCCCTAACACAGTAAATGTTCTACTTTCATACCTTATAGTATAGACAGGTCCCTAACACAGTAAATGTTCTCCTTTCATAACTTATAGTATAGACAGGTCCCTAACACAGTAAATGTTCTACTTTCATACCTTATAGTATAGACAGGTCCCTAACACAGTAAATGTTCTCCTTTCATAACTTATAGTATAGACAGGTCCCTATCACCGTAAATGTTCTCCTTTCATAACTTATAGTATAGACAGGTCCCTAACACAGTAAATGTTCTCCTTTCATAACTTATAGTATAGACAGGTCCCTTACACAGTAAATGTTCTCTTTTCATACCTTATAGTATAGACAGGTCCCTAACACAGTAAATGTTCTCCTTTCAAACAGATCTTCCTCTTCCTGTGAATGAAAAATTTATTGGAATTAGTTTGTATTTGGTTAAAATAGGACAATAATGAACAAAATTACTTAAATAGGAACACAACACAGGCACTTGTTTTGTATATAGGGTCACACCCTTCTTTTTCTTTCCACAAGGTACCAAACTCAATTTCAGGCACCCTAGCTTAAAGCATGTATTTTGTTAATATATCAATCATTAACCTACTTTAAAATGACATTGTTCGCTTCAAAAGACTTTTTTTCAAATAAACCGTTTCAAACGTCTCTGGTTGAGCCTCTTTATTGTAAACCACTTATTTATTCCATGAAAATTACCTTGATACATATTAAGACTCAAGAGGGGATACAAGAACTTCCAGTTAGGATTGTAGTCTACGATAAAACCAGAGACCTCAGAATGGAAAACTTGGAAGGCTCTGGTTTCATCCTACATCTATAACCCCAACCAGAAGTTCTTGTGTCCCGTCTAGAGTCTTAATATGTATTGAAGTAATTTTCTAGGAATAAACGAGTGGTTTACAATGAAGAGGCTGGACCAGAGACGTCTGAAACGATTTATTTGAAAAAAGTCTCTCGAAGCCAGTGATGTCATTTTAAAGTAGGTTACTGATTGATATATTAACAGAATATGAGCTTGAAGTGAGTGTGCCTGAAATTGAATTAGGTACCTTATCGAAAGAAAAAGAAGGGTGTTACCCGATATACGAAACAAGTGCCTGTGGAACACAATCAATCAAACTTGGGCAATGTTTCAAAAGAAAATGTTTTGGGCAAAAGAAAATTTCTTACCATAAACTCATCAAAGTCAGCAGCTTCGAATTCACTCAATATTTCATCACAGAGTAACTGTAAAACAGAACAGCGGCAGAATTTTATTGTCTTTAATTAGATGGGGAAATTGTTTAAAAATTTACAAGTTTAGGTGATCTAATTCAGTAGGTAATTGCCTCATTATGAAAGATTTACATTAAAGGTCAATATCTATTGAGGAAATAAATTTGTTGGTTATGGGGTACCTGCAGAATCCATAAAAATTGAATTCTATACAGTGAAACCTCTTTACTCTGACATGCAATGGGCAAGAAATTTTGTTGGAATAGACTGGGTGTCAGATTTCACAGAGAAATGGATTGCACAGGAGTCGGATTAGACAGTTTTTGCCAAACGTAATAATTCCACAAGTTTTTTTATTACAGAGATGATAGAGATAAGTACCATATTTTCCTGAGTAAGGATGAGCCTCTGAGCTCCTGTTATTGATTCAAAGAAGACTTGGGCTGGAATACTGGAGTTTGTTCCATGTTGGATTATGTCTGGATTCAGAAGTACTGTGTGGAGAGTTAGAGAAAACAGCTGATCCAGCTGGACACGAAACTTTGGAGACCGAAAAGCACTACATGTATAAGAAAATTTTTTAAAAATTGTCTTTGTACACATTCATCAACTTGCAACCATTTAAAGAAATTTCATATTAAAGATGAAAATTATAAAGGATGATTGTTTACCTGACCACGGAACCAAATAAAACCTTAAGGAGTCTATGCATTTCCTTCATAACAACCTCACAGAATGCCAGAGGAACTCTAAAACACACATACTCGCATTTACAAACAGTATCAGTCATAAAGTTTTCTTAAAATAAGTTGTTTTTATAGTACTTTTTTTGAATAACATATTTTTATCTCACCTGGATTGGGGAAAGCCCATCAAGAACAAGTCCTGGCCTTCTCGTATGAACACTACATGGATTGTCTGCCCTTTGTGACTAATGGTACAACTGAAAATTTAAAAGATGGTCAAATTAGAAAAAAAGTGTCAAAGTACATCAAATTGATTTTTTGTGTTTGTCTGTGATTTAAAAAATGCCTAATTTTTCATGTTTATTTAACAATATTAAAATGCTACAAATCTTTATTAACACAATTGCCTACCATTTAACATTATTGCCAGTGATGTCTGGGACGGTTCCACACAATGTCAAAAATAACCCTCTGACATCAACAAGTTTGTTCTCAAGGTCACAAGGAAACTGATACACAATGTCTTCTTTTGTGTTTTCTGATGACTCCTCTGGTTCAGGGGAGTCTAAAGTCAAGTACATAACAGCACACATTATGTTCTTCAGAAATAAGACAAGTCTGGACTTATCTTCACCGGACACTAATTGGAGGATGTTATCCCCCAGCTGGGGACGCTGTTTCTTTGGTGGTTGGTGTGGGGATGTGGGGACCACTGTACAGGTGCTGACTTTGTGGGGGTATGTTTTGGGAGGTAGAGGTGGAGGGACGCGTGAAGGTGGTGGGTTTTTATCTGGCCCAATAACCACAGGAAGTTGGAAGGTTAGCTTTACCTATAATAAAACCAAAGATAACTTGAGTATGCGTTTGTTTTGTTCTAATTCATCCCTAAGATAGCTTATTTACAATTGAAATATATTGAAATATTGACTATATCAAAACACTAAATGTAAACATAAAACATATTTGAGCCAGTTGTTTTTAAGAGAAAAGCTATAAATTATACATTTGTAAAACTTACTGGTCTATTGGTGATTGATCTGAAAATTTCATCCAAGTTTACCCATGTTAATTCAATGTCATTTAAACACACCAACATATCTCCTACAATCAAAAACAGAAAAAGGGTAAATGTATCATAAATCAACATGCCTAGTGAATTATTTCTATTTTGTAAAATTCATTCACTTTGTAAATCTCTTAGGTGAGTAAAGGTTGATAAAAATAGGACATTAAAACAGCCAAAAAAAATGCAAGAAATTCACCTCTAAAAATTTGAGCCGATTGTTTGGCAGGACTGGCCTGTAAGACATCTTGTACAATGATTTTCCTTTCTCTGGCCAGCTTTTCTAATGTGCTACCATTAAGCATATGTTGAGGAGTCCTTTGGTTATACTGGCATAACACAATCCCAAAAAGCTTTTCACAAAGAATGATTCCAGATTTATCACTTGAACAACAGTTTCTTATGTTTGGCACCAAATAAACATGCTTGATTTTATCCTCACTTGGAGGGCAGGAAGAACTAAGGATCTGTCCATTACCTAGCTTTTTGTGAGTATCACTTTCGACACAATTTTCAGAATTAAAATCATTTTCTTTTAACATGTTCTGATCACTAAACAAAATTTTAGGTTTAAAATGTTTGTAACCACTTCCTGACACCTGTACCTCATTCTTATTATACTTTGTCTCTGCAGCAGAGCTCTTGGTATATAGAGGCTGATTGTTATTTTCCAGATGACTGTGATCCCCACTGTGTGTGTATGAGTTCCCAGAATTCAGTGACTGCTCCACATGGTGATTGGAGGACCAATCGGATACATGCCCTCTTTGCTGATACTTGCTTTTGTTGTCTTGTTTCACATCCAGATAAAAAAGATCACCTTGTTTATGCACATATGGCCCCCAATTTTCCTGGCATTTACTGAAATTAATGATCAGATAATTATTCAATTCAAATATTAAATGAAAAATTAAACTGCATTTAACGAAAAATGTTAGTCTTTTGAATTTATACAATAATTTAAAGTCTTTTTTTAACATATACTCAAATTTTATGAAAATTCAAATATAAACATAACAGCAGATTATGATATTTCTTCAAACAAAATCAACACCCCAAACTAAAATGCCCAACATGCAACAGTACGAGTCCTTTTACCACAAATATTTCATAAATGATGTATGAGTATCTTATCTTTAGCATGCAACCTTTTATTTCTCTTAACACCATGAATCAGATAACTTGAGACTGTACACATGAAAATGTTATGCCAGTCCCAAGGAATTTATTCAGCACAGTTCATGCAGAAAATTCTGATAAAGTAAAACATCTCCCTCTGCCAAGTGTACAAATGTAAATCTAACACAGCTCTTGTATACATCAATAAAAGTTACACTAATTAATTATCTTCCAAATGAACCATATTACATTGTTACATGATTATCTTTTGGTAAAGATAGTAGAAATTTTAGTTGTCAAAGAATTTTGAGCCACAAATCTCCAAGCAATGATCAGATCTGACCGAACAGCTACACTGATTAAGTAAATTATAAAGCTACAGATGCCTTTTTAATTAAGTCATTATAGAATATACATAAATCCCTCATCAGCTTCTCATTGTCAGAGATTTGTAGAAAATTGTGTTTTTGGGATTTTATTTTAAAAGTAATCTATAGATCATAAGATTTCATCTACCCAGTGACCACAAATAAATAAATGGAATATTTAGCTAAAAAAAGCCTGCTCTCAAATTGATGTAAACAATAAACATTCCATAATACATGCAGGGTTGTCCGTAAGACCTAGGGGCCAGGGAATTCCCTCCCTATAATGACAAAGTCCCCTGGTTATCCTGGTACATGTATTCCCCATCAAACCCCTCTTAAGGGAGGAAACCCTGACTCCTTTCTACTTTTTTAATGCCTCCTGCTATTTCAATTCTTACGGACAACCCTGTACATGTGTTCTGATTGTTCAGTGCAAAAAAATCCCTCGTGCACATATTTTTCATTACTTGTCTCTAAGAGCACTGAGGGCAAAAATTCGTCCTGGGCAGAGCTGTGGATTCTCCTCACCGTATTTTGTACTGTACAATCCATCTGAAGGATGTATATAAATACCTGATACATTTTCAATTTTAATGTATTTATGTTTTTGTTGCAAAATAGTTCTACAATGGCTATGCGTTTCTTCTTAAAACATATATTAATATGCATTTCAAGAAACAATAGCATTAATAATAAAATATGCCCACAAGTATAGAATAAATAGTCTAAAATGATAAACAAATATATATGTTGCTAATATGTAAGTTGTATCATAGCTGTATTTTCCCCGGGTTTTACCAACTTTCCAGTGCCTTAGTACTGTCAATTTTAATCCTAGCCAAAACTCACAAAAGTACAAACAATGTTATACATATAGTAAATTTACTAAATTATTTGCTATAAGATGCCCTATATAATGCATAAAAAATTAAATAATTACAATTCTCCTTTTGATTTTGTCTTCATAAGTTGAAGGAATATACTAAATCTAATCAAGTAGTTATTAGCTCCTTATATGAATCTAATCAAGTAGTTATCAATGTATATTAGCTTCGTATATTCGAAAGGGCACTAATAGTTGAATATGCATGCCAAAATTAATTAGAGTTAAATTTCTTTAGTTAAAAATAATATGTTTTACGATGCCACTGTTGGGGCAAGTGCAGTTGACCATAAAAAACCTTTACAAAGCTTACACTATCCACCTCTTCAAACTTCAAACCACATGACTGTGACATCACATGACGTTGTATGTAAGTTGCATTTGATTTCCGTAACTGGGTCTAAATAGGCCTTTCGCAATTTTGTAACGAAAGGCATTGTAGAGAGGATGCAATTATTCTTTGTTTGTTTAAGCTCTCCACAAGAACTAAATCTTAATTACTACATAACTGTGGGACTGTTTATTCACCTTTATAGCATGGAATCCTGGCAGGCAAGTGGTAGCGACGGAATTCTGAGATTTCACAGAAAATTTGCTTGACGAATATACAGATTTTAATTCAAATTTTCTCTGTTCTTACACATTAGTCTATCGAGCTCGCTGTGCTCGCTATAAAGCAAAACTATTAAAATTTTCACCAACAGAAGTAAGGACTGAAAAATTTTGCGCCCTATCTTTGTGGGGGGGGGGGGGGGAGGGGGATAAAAAGAAAATTACAATAAGATTCATACAGAAAATGTGTTGATAACAATATGAATACTAGGAAATAAATTTCTTCTTTTTCCAAGATGAGAAGTACTTAAATTATCTCTCTTTTTAAGTTTTTGTCTTTGTTTATTAAAGCCTATTTGATTCAATACAAAAAGTACGGAAATGACAATCTAAAAATAAAAAGTTGTACTGCATTATATCTTGCAAAATCTAAATTATCTGTATTTAAGAAAATATGTACTTTGATACTGTAACAGGTGCCCTCTGCTGTTGAATCGCACTCGTCTCGTCATTCGACTTCGTGGAGCTGATTGTTCCAACGATGTTTCGCTGTGTTTTTTCATTTTTAGGATCAAAAAATGGTTTGAAATGAGAGTTAAATGCCATAATATTAACAAAATCCTGAAACTTTACATGTTTTTGTGTCAAGTAAATGTTATTGTCTCCAAAAGTCCTCCATTTTGTTTACATCCGGGTATCCGTTGAAGTATGTGGGTTACGTGACTCTAAAGACAGAAGAGGTTATCCAAAGGAATGTAACTCTTGCACACATAGAATTATCTTTCGTTAGCTTTCCTACATTTTCTCGTTATTATTTCATCAAATTTTAATGAATTATTATTATGATTTTATTAAATTCATATAAATTGTTATTATCATAAAAAAAATGATTGTTTTTAGTAGCAGATTCAAATAAAGTGACATAGGCCCTACTTAAAAAAAAAGATATCCATTGTACACACCAATGCTATACATCTAAAATTTTATTTAATGGATGTTTAATGCATATCCTTTGAAATACTTTTTCAGCATAGAAAATTTTATATTATCTCCTAATTTTACATATTTAATTATATATGTCTTATTATATTTGATTTTTTTTAAGTTCAAAAAAAAATAAATAAATAAATAAATAAATAAATAAATAAATAAATAAATAAATAAATAAATAAATAAATAAATAAATAAATAAATAAATAAAATAAATAAATAAATGTAAAAATCGATTTATTTGGAAATAAGATGTTTTAGAGTTTAAAAATTTGTTGTTAATAAATGCTAAATAAAAAATTCCTCTATATAGTTACTCGATATTTTAAAACTTTGAAGCAATAACCACGAGGGTCATTAAAAAAAAATACGTAGACTTTCGCCATAACTTTTTTAACTTAACGTCAAATTTTGAACCAATTCAGTAGAAATATTTCAATAATAAATCCGAATAGTTTGAATTAATTTTTTTTTTAATACTATAGTATCTCATGGTATATTTTAAAATTATTGAAAATATAAACTGCAAAAAATGGGGTCACGGAGTCAGTCAAAATTAAGTAATGTAATCGCAATAATTGTCTGTAGTGATATCTCGTTTAAAATAGCGTTAAAGCAAAATAAAATTAAATATTCAAATTGAGTATGGTCACATCATTTTATATACCGTAATGTAGTAAATTGTTTCGTTGAAAGAGAAATCAATTGCAGGAAACAAGTTGTGCTTCTTTCAAAAAAAAAAAAAAAAAAAAAAAAAAAAAAAAAAAAAAACACTTTGTGTTGCAATCAGACAATACAAAAACAAACTCAGAAAAAGCTGGACCAAGCAGAAAATATATCAAAATTTAGCCATGCAGGTGTGTATAAATGTCAAAGAATTTTTTATTTTTTTTTTTTGGACGATGAGCGGCATTCAAGGAAATGAATTATCAATAAAATCTGGTCAAAACCGCTAATAACGTCAAGGGAAGATGTGCACTTGCGGAACTAGTGAAAGCAGAGTTACGTGGTAAAAAAAATTAAGACATTGAAGCATTAATACTCGAATACTAAGAATAAAGTGATAGGGAAACCTTTTTAATAAATGTGTAAGGCGCCACATACTATGTGTAAAATAAGGAGGTGGAGTATTTTTGAGAAACTGTCTTGACGTTGTGATTTTGACGTTACGTTGATAAGCATGCTCCAAGGTGATAAAAATGTACTAAGTTTTATCCTTTAGCTCGATTACGACTCAGTAAGCAAAGAGAGTTAAGCAGATAAGTAAGGATACCTCTTCCAAAATATTGTGAAATTCATGACTTTTGGTATTAGGATGAGATTAAAACTTTTGACTAGTGTACGCTTTCTTCAAATCGGATCCACAGCATCGTATACAAGCGTACTCTATCACAGCTTCTTGGGTATTTGTTGCAAGCTCCAGTGTCCTGTCTTCTTAATAAAGGTCTGTATGTACAATCGTATCCAGTCAGGGTTTTTTCTGTGGGGGAGGGGGGATCCGAGTTTGTTGAAAAATGTAAGAAGCTACGATTGTCATGCATGCGAAGTAACATTGTTAAACAGTTATATAGATAAGAATTTGAGAACTATCAATGTCTATCTCTCTTAGAGATTATCCAGTTTTATTTATATAGTATTAATATGATCACTGTGTTTTTGTCATTTATAGATATCCCTACATGATAAAAGAAATGTGACAAGTCCTGTGGTGTACAACAGGCTATAGAGCACAGTGCCGAAGCACGAGTCTTAAACTCCTTTGATCCACTTAGGGGAATTCCATATAAATGTTTACACAGCCAAGGGGGTATCAGCTCTTGGGGCGAAAATCTACTCAGCTCATCCAGCGTGTTCTTGTAGTTAAGAGGGGTCAGTGTCAGATCTAGCATGACCCTTGACCTTTATGTTATCTAATACACATTATGCTATTGATTCACCGCTCAAGTGTACACATAACCCGTCAAAGAAATTATCTATCATTATTTATCTACTCCTAGACACACACGGAGGAAAAAAAGAGGAATACACTACACAAAAAGGGACTAGAGAGTAGAGCAAACAGACATACCTGCGTGATAAGATACTTCTTATTCCATCGAAGTCATCTAGTGTGTTTCTTTTCCTGCTTCGATAGATCGGCAATGAAAGTCCAAACATACTGTTTCTTGACAACTTGGCCGTCAGTTCCATGTGGAAGCTTTCGGAAACGTCCAGGAATGCTATATTTGTGGACCTTTCTTTCATTTCTTTTTTTTCACTCTTTTAAGCCTTTATTTCTACAAAAAACAAATTATTACATTCTGCGAATCAGACTAGAACAAATTGAAAGTTTTTGTTTACTTTAAAAGACATGATAAGAAGTCAGGTTTACTATCAATCTGGTTTTGCAGCAAAGTAACAACACTTGATAACGTTCTTTTGTGCTTGAACCAATCTATTATTTCAGAAGAATACTGGGACATGTTTTACAAGGACATTTAGACTGGTTCTCGTAATTAATTCGGGAGCTAATTTTCTCTGCCATTGAAGACTGACAGTCAATCAGTACTGTCATTTAGAAATAATCTTTATTGCGAAGACTGTATTGATCAGGTAAAAATGCATCAGTAATTTAGCAAATTTCGCTCAAAGATAATAACGAAAGATTCATCTGAGTCATTTCAGGCCATTCAGCACACAGATAAAATAGCTACGAATGCATTAATAGTGGTCTTTATTTCTTTCTTCTATCAAAAGAATGACAAAAAAGTGCAGTGCATTCATGCACCTGTACCTCGGATCCTTTATAAAAATGGGTTACCGAAATTACAATTACGAATGCAAAATATTTAATATTGTGAGCACCAAAGCGGCTTATTATACTGATATTCCCTTTTATCACCTGGAAATATCTTACCAAGTCTAAATAGCCTCGATTGAAAACCGGAAGAGTTCTGAAATTTTGGTTTCTCATCTTTCGACATTAATTTGAAATATGATTGCGAGACCCAGTTTTACTAAGGTCGTCCTAATGATGTTCCCAGTTATGATTAATTGCTGTTAATAAGTGACTAAAACTAACAAAGAATCCATCTAAATTCACATCTCATGACAAAAGTCCCATACCACGTTGATCACCGTATTAATATTTTGTTTATTGCTAGTTCTCAAACTAAGCACAAGATTTTGTACAGTTCAAAGAATTGCAAATCACGAACAAAAAAGTGCCATAGAGAGACAAGAATTCGACCGAAATTAGAGTGTCATCTTACCGTGCAACAGACTCTTTGTCGGATTAAATACTTAGATTTTAGAGTTGGTTGGCGATTGTCATATTTAATCTGTATAAGTGATTTCTATTGTGCCCTATTGCCGTGTAATTGCCGTAATGATTTTGTACCCAGCATAACGGATGTCAGAGGAGCCTCCTGTCGATCAAAAATTGTAACCGTATTGCTACAGGGAGTCCGCGACAGAAATTGCACGTGCTGTCACATAAAAGTAGACCTGAAGTGATTATGTCTCGAAATTAGAATGTTTAATAGATTTTAAATCAGTTTAATGGACAGAAGGGTTCCCCCTTGTCAAATTAAATAACTGTCAACAGAAAGGAAGAAGGAGCGGGGAAAACTCCATGACAGGATAAACCTCGACATCATACGCTTGTCATCAGCAATATTGATAAGTATTTACGTAATGCATGAGAGAAATGTACAAATCTGATAAATAAAACATAACATTTCTTCATGGGATTGTTATATGTTGAGGTCACTGAGAAAAAAAACAGACCCTAAACGGAAAAATGTTTTGTCACTACTATGTCCCAGGTATCGAAGCTGCACGTCAATTTCAGTCTATCTGATGGAAGCTGCACGTCAATTTCAGTCTGTCTGATAGAAGATGCACGTCAATTTCAGTCTATCTGATGGAAGCTGCACGTCAATTTCAGTCTGTCTGATGGAAGCTGCACGTCAATTTCAGTCTGTCTGACGGAAGATGCACGTCAATTTCAGTCTATCTGATGGAAGCTGCACGTCAATTTCAGTCTGTCTGATGGAAGCTGCACGTCAATTTCAGTCTGTCTGATGGAAGCTGCACGTCAATTTCTGTCTATCTGATGGAAGATGCACGTCAATTTTAGTCTGTCTGATGGAAGCTGCACGTCAATTTCAGTCTATCTGATGGAAGCTGCACGTCAATTTCAGTCTGTCTGACGGAAGATGCACGTCAATTTCAGTCTATCTGATGAAAGCTGCACGTCAATTTCAGTCTGTCTGATGGAAGCTGCACGTCAATTTCAGTCTATCTGATGGAAGCTGCACGTCAATTTCAGTCTGTCTGATGGAAGATGCACGTCAATTTCAGTCTGTCTGATGGAAGCTCCACGTCAATTTCTGTCTGTCTGATGGAAGCTGCACGTCCCTTTCAGTCTGTCTGATGGAAGCTGCACGTCAATTTCAGTCTATCTGATGGAAGCTGCATGTCAATTTCAGTCTGCTTGATGGAAGCTGCACGTCAATTTCAGCTGTCTTTCCTTTTTATTTACAACAGTTAGTTTAAGATAAAGAAGAAAATTAATTGTCAACAATTAAAATTCAATATTCTCGTTTCATTCATTGCTAAATTAATGTACATGTATCAATTTCATCTGTAAATTTTGCTACACGAAATATGCACTCAATTTTTGTCATCTTGACAGTGATGTCAAAGATGTCTTTGA